AAAAAAAAAAAAAAAAAAAAAAAAAAAAACAACAACAACAACAACAACAAAGATCTAATCGACTCGACCCAAGAAAGTTGCAATAAAATATGAAAAATCCACAAAGGTTGTCACAACATCAAATCTCAGTTTCATAATCCCAACAGCATACAATATACACTAATATAAATTGACATTCATCAGAGTTTCCTTCTTAAGAGGAGTTCATGGAGAAATACAATCGCAGTCACTTTATTTCATAACAAATGGAAACAACTGCACCAACAAGAAATGAAAAATATGGTACAGAACTAGAAAAAAAACCCACATCACTCCTGATATCAAAGGAAGAAAAAGTGAGTTAAATTCACTCAGCACGACCAATACTTAGTTCTTTACCGTGGTGACCTGCCTCAGAAGCATGGAGACAACATCAGGAGAGATCCTAGAAGCCTCTGTCTTAATGTGTTGGATCTTTGCTTCAGTTTCTTGTTCAAGGCGCTTGACGTTAGCACCTGTGTCCCCACTACTCTGTAGAACCGAACATGAAGAGGAAAATATAAAGCAAAAGACGAAAAAAGATTTGTTTTTGTTTTTTTTTTTGAGTTAGACAAGTGAATTAAGAATTCAAGTACTGCAGGAAACATATAATATAATTTTGTTGGCTACGGATTTATATATATTTAAAAGTATTCACTTGCCAATTGCTTTTGTTAACAAATTAATCCTGTTTAAGCAAAATGTTTGTAAAAGGAAAACCAATTAATCTATGATATTCGTAAAGACTTAAGGGAGTACCAGTAATAATAATACTGTAATTAGACAGAATATCAGGAATAATTTCAGTAATTTAACCCTAGAATTTACTTCAAATATAACAAATGAGAAATGAGGAGTTCAAAATGAATAAAGCGTGTTTTCCCATTGGAAACCATTATAAACAGAATAGTTCCCCTACCAGTAATATGTTGTATTTAAATCAACAGAAAGGAGATGATGGAAATCCACAGATACAATATTGCCATTTAATAAAAGTTCTGTTCGCAAACTCTCACCTCCGCAAGCTTCCTCTGGAAATCGACCTCCATTTGGGCACGAAACTCAGCAACTTCCTTCTCAGCCTCCTCTTTTGCTTGTTTCAATCTGGCTTGCTTTGCTGAGCAAGAAAATCAACGTGAGCATAAACATCTGTTCTGAGTACCCATTCATGCAGACTTCGGTATCTCAAAATTAGAATAAGTTAAGCCAAAAAAATCTACAAAGTATGAGCCATGTGAAGGCAAAAACCAAAAGAGAATAAGTTGGTCTGATTGAACTCAAGGCACTTTTTGAGAACAATCTAACAGCGAAATCTCTCTCTCTCTCTCTCTCTCTCTCTCTCTCTCTCTATATATATATATATATATA